AGGATGTACACTGCTTGTTGAGATTCCACTAACACTGCATTGTCCATTCAGTCCTTTTCATCACCTTGCGGATCCTTGGCTGTACATACATTGCCCAACTGGGCATGTATCAATGGGGCTGAGACGCCCTGACTGAGGGCACACTCACACTACCACTTCCAAAAATGTATACAACTGCAATCACGGTCAAAGCTTTGTTTCCTTTTTTTTGTTTTCTTCTTTGACGAGTTTCACAGCCGCAACTTTTCTTCCTCTTTTTTTTTTTTTTTTGGTTCTTTCCATGAGAGTACCAGAAAGAAAATGGAGTGGGGCCCAGGCTCGGCAAAAACAGGCTCGGAGGTACTAGTGGTTTAAGGTCAGGAAGGCTGAATTTTGGACGGCGGGGGTAGTGGTGGTTAAACTCCCTCTCCCGCACCCATCCCCCGTAGTCAAAGGCCTTCATCCTGCTGTATGATCTACTTGCTGTGTATGTTCAGTCATGCTTGGAGTTGACTTGACCTGCAACTGTGTTTGTAACCTCATCGATACTTCATCCTTCCCCATCACCTACCTCCTTGACCCCTCCTCCATAGTCAAACACCTTCATCCTACCCCATCACTCCCCTCTCTCACCCATCCTCCATAGTCAAACACCTCCATCCTCCCCCATAACCAAACACTGGTCCCGATCCATTGCGGAAAGTGCTACTCAACTAATGTGTGCTCGGGATCAGGATCATCCTGAACACCGCACATTAGGTGGTTCTCTGGGCACACACACACACACACAGACACACACACACACACACACACACACACACACACACATACATACTTAGAAAAATAAAATAGAGGGATAAATTATTAAAATGAAATAGCTATTTTGCATTAGATGGTACCACCCTCTTCTCAAGAAATCAAACCTTCTAATAACTATTTAACATGGGTAAGTACCACCCACCCCACTACACGGGCACACACTATGCACACCTAGCAACACAACGAAAACCAGTTCTGAACGGTACCCCCACACATTACCCCTACCCACCCCTCACTTCACCTCCCTGCAATACCACGCCACCCCAACTCCACTGAAACAACGGAAGGATGCATGGAGCAGGGCCACTTGTAAACCTGCAAACCAGGTTTAAAATAAACCGCCCGACCCACCAAAAATAATCCCCCCCGAAGTCGTAGGCCTCCGAGCCTCGGAATACAATACATCATTAACACCCCCCAAAAAGAGGGGGCGAGGACAAAAACGTTGCCCTCTTCGAACCCCACCCACTACAGAACACCACACACATATGACACGCCACGACCCACAACACACAAAGACAGAGACTCCCTACCGCTTGAATGTGGTGCTGCCACCATCCGACAAAACAGCCATCCGCCATTTTCGGTCTACACGACACACACGGTAACGCGAAGAGACACCACCCCATACCCAGACGATGCGACAAGCCCACGCGCTAGCTCTGCCATCGTCGAAGCCGACCACTAGCCACGCAAGCGTACGCCGAGCAGAAACGCAGCTCCAACGTAAGGACTTCCCAACGGGAGTCCAAGAACTCTTAGCGCCCGCCCTTCGTAGAAGACTCCTTACGCACCCCCTACACGTCTGTGGTCGTTCCCCCCTCATCACATACCCCCGGTAGACATGGCCCGCTCGCCTCTCTTCTTCCCCCCTTCTACCCCTGCTCTTCCCCCTCTCCCCCTCAAACCCAATGAAGTAGGCCTCCTCCTCCTTTTCTTTCCCCTTCTTCCGGCTTCGCAAAAACTATATCTTCCTCCTGCATCCCTCTACTCGCATTATCACTGGAAGAATTCCCGAATGCTGCGGCCTCTGGGTTAACATACATGACCACCTCTCTTGCATTTCATAGCACGAGAGGTAATCTGCTCTGCGCCTCCTCCTTCCTGCTCTTCCTAGCAGAAGGACGGTTCGCACCTTCCCTCGGTAGGATACGTGTGTCCTCCCGCACTCGCCAAAGATGGCTGATGCCTTTGAAGACCTCGTTTCGGATGCGGACATCAACGCACATGTGGTAAGCATCCCCCTYCTCACCCACTTGCTGATTGGTAACARCCTTCACCATTTGTCTCTACCAGTTCTCCWWCCCTATCCTTCCTCCCACCCCTGCTCACCCTCCTCCCCTCTAGTCTCTTCCTCTCCACTGTCGCCCCCAACCCTCTTAAATCTCACTCCCTGCCTCCCCATAATTGTACTTTCCTCTTGTATCTCTCTCTCCTCTCACCACCCTCTCGTCTTCTCTCTTCTCTCTCCTTTTCCTTTCCCTCTCTCTCCAGAGTATGGACCTCCA